CATTTTCGCAAACGGTAATGTTAACGAAGCGTTTAACGCGAAAATTTTCAAATTTTATAGAAAAATGGTTCATAAAAGACACCAAACTCTTGAGGCTGAACCTCAAATTTCAGCAAACGTTTCTCGTTAGGTCCAAGATCAAATCCATTGGCCAGTTCACCATCAATTAAGCGCAACAGTCCATCTCTCCGCCTACTTGAAATAAATTCAATAGATAGCACGCGGAAAATTCGGTCACAATTGTTAGTGCAAGAAAATTCCAGTTCACGCTTTTCGAAGGTCGGACTAAAAATGCTAGTAATATCAGGACTGATATCAAGAGCACGGTAGTCCTGCAAATCAATTAAATTTAAAAAATAAAGTAAATAAATTGCATGAGTTCACTGCCTCATCTTAGCTCATCAAATACGAATTCTTAAAAGACGAAGTCGAATCCTATAAATAATATCGAAATTTCTCTTCAGAATTACCAATTTCCTTAGAGTCTTTTCAGTGAATTCAATTAAACTTTGGCCGCCAGCAATCTAAATGATGCAAATTGTGCAGTGAGCAATACCATTTGTTTTTACAAACGTAAGAGATATGGGTTCAATTAAAAGTAGATTTATTATTATTTCCGAAAAAAAAAATGAATTGTTGGTTTTTTTATTTTTCCAATTATTAGCGGTGTTTAGAACTGCATTCCTAAGACCTTAATAAACCCTTTTCATTTAATACACAAGCATTTATCATAATTTCAAATGTTAAAAAAAAAAATTATTTCACCTGTATTCTTACTTGTTTATTCGCAGATGTGTATGCCATCTTGATCACTATAGAAATGATCGATTGAACAGAAGTAATGCGCGTTTGCGCCTACTAAATTTTCCTTGTTTCGCAGAAACCGTTATCTTCTTTCATTGCAGTTATTAAAAAAAAACGAGCAGAATTGAAAAGCATTGCCATCCCAAATATTTCTATTGACAGTGGTGCGGAGATGAAACAAAATGTAAAAATAAAAAAATTTCTGCTTATTTTAATTTTTTTTTATTTTTTAAAATCCTCATTTCTTAGGAGTACCTACATCTGTTCAAGAACTTATTGATAAAGGTTATATAAACATTGCAATTTTTTTTATTTTCATTTATGTATATAAATATATATATATATAATTGCGCGTTTCATCAATTCTCTTTATTGTCATTGTTAATTCTTTGAAATAGTACGAGTACGTCTTAAGTCCTATAGCCGCCACTTCTTTGGTAGGATTTCCGTTAATACTGTATCGGGATCTTTTTCCATTTTCATTTCCTGAAGGGGCAATTTCCTACTGATTGGTGCACTTGTTTCAACAGCATTTTTAAGAAACTCCCCTAATTCGGGTATCGTCTTCTCGGTTTATAATAAATTTCTATTGAGTGTCTCACAGAGTTCATTGGGTGGCCTAAAATTCTATTTTGGGCTTAATAACAAGCGCTTTTAACGAAACAGCATTGGAACACTTAAAGTCGAATGACCGGTTTGTTTCGATTCATCATTAGGAGCTAACAATGTATCATCGGTCTGTTGACATAAAAATTGCTTTGAATTATCTTGAGGAAGAACCCATTGACTTAATACAATATTAGCATAATCGCTTCCCATCTCTCCACTCCTTCATCGTTTTCAACTTTTATATTCGATTTCTACAATTTGCACGTCTTTGCCTACCCACCATAACATCCAGTACCCGCACAGCAAAAAGAAAAGAATTTTCATATTTTGTTTATGAGCAGCTGTCGCATGTATAAAAATTCGGCACTTTAGAGAATAAGCGTATATGTTCTCAATAATTTGTAAAAATGCCAACCATGTGAGAATAAGCGTCCACACATTTGTTTACATTTTTCAATAATTTTTCCATCCTAAACAAAAAAGAAGTAAATAAAAAAGGCAAAAATTTAATCAAACAAGAGAACAACAAGGAAAACCAAAAACAAAATCACTTGAACAAAAAAAAAAAAACTTTAAACCTGAAAACAACAAACAAACCAAAATGCGTTACAAATTCTATTTTCTAGTCAAATATATTACGAATGCCGTTAAACGCGGTCGTGGTCGTTCATGTATATGTAGGAAAATGAAAGTTGTGCTTGCTAACAAATCTTCGCTAACAGAGTAATTGTATTCCAAAATATCCTCAATTTCTGGCTCAATCTCTTTTGCTTTTTTCTTATTTAATGATTTTCTTATTATACTATTTTATATTACATTGTATAAATTACATGCAGGTAGTTTGAATAAATTTGAAACCCTTTATTTAATTGTATGAAAAAATTTTGCTTGTATAATAAAAAAACGAGTATAATCTTTTTTACCAAAAGATTTCAGATTAGTTCATCCTTTGTAGCACGCATCAGAATATTGTATGCCATTTATTTATTGGAATGCTTTTGGGCATATGTGACCTTAGCCATTCCCACCTGCCGCCAATAATAGGAGCCCCTGATTGCGTTTACTTATCGTCGTATTCGGGGTCTTGTATTAAAATTGCAATAGGCACGATAAACCTCTACGACCTATTTCGATTTACCTATAAATTCACTGATATTTCGCCAGCGTATATAGCCTTATCAATTAGTTCCTGAACAGATTTTTTAGGATTTCCCTATTTTCCCTCGAACGGTTTTTGAACTGCTTCCTAGTTGACGTGGTGAATACCGCATTCAAAAACCAATGTTTCAAGCGATGTTCGTTGCGCCAAAAAATTTGACATTTCCTAGAAATTTGAAACTAAAAAGCGAAGAAGCCCAAAAGCAGCTGGAAAGCTCTAAGGTATAACGAAATAAACCAATATGTTTATAGAGTAAAAAAATTAGATTTTTTAAATTGCTTGATTATTTAATGGGTTCAATACTAATTGCTAGCGAATGTTATTGGATAAACGCCCAAATTGGAAACAAAATAGCATTAAATTGTAACCAAAGCCTGACCAAGAGAAAGCTTATGCCCTAGACCGAATATACGAAGTAGACCAACATCGAATAGTAAAGCCTTAATTCCATTATACGAATATCTTACACTTCATTTACAGATGAATATCTACAAATAATTGTATTAGCTTACATTACGAAATGGAACTTGTATTCAAATATTTCTTATTACACAATTTGGAAAAATTACTGAAGCTAAGCACCACTGTCTCTATACAATTGTTGGGTAAGAATCTTCCCCTAATATTCGATTAAAATAGCTTTAAAAAATAGTAATAAAAAGTAATTTACTGCATTTTTCCTATTTTTTCTTAATTTAATACGCGTAATTCTTGCGCAAATGTACACATGCGTAAGCACGTTATGCACATTTCATTCTTCTTCTTGTTACTGCTAATGTTTGCGATAACATTGAGTTCGATTAATCGAGAAAGTTGTTTGCTTGTCTCCAAGTAAAAACGTCATAAAGGTACAGAAAATGAGAAAGACAGGTAAATGGCTGCTATTACATTTAAAAAAAAAAATCAGATCTTTCTACGTTCAAAGCTTTTTGTAAATGTCTAACAAACATTCTTACCGTTCTCTTTAATTATTTAGTTAGTTAGTAAAAGCCAACATATATTATCTCTTTTATTTAAATCGCTAAATTTAACTTTTTTCCTTTTGTTTATTTTGTTTTTGTTAGACATGAGATTGTATTATATTATTTCAGTTTAGTTTTATGTATTAATTATACAAATTTAAAATTACTTAAAAAAAACGCATTGACATTTATGAGATTTTTTTTATGTTACTCATATATATATATATATATATATATATATATATATATATATATAAGTAAAATAGAGCATGTGAAGTAAAATAGAGCATGTTTTTTTTTGCAACAACTAATAAAAAATAAAGAACTGGGATGAGAAAAAATGGAGTGGTGCGAGTATAGTTAATGAAGGGATTTAAGAAATGATGAAAAAATACTTTTAATTCTCTTTCCTTATTTTTTTGTTAAACATTTACAGTGTTAAACGTTAAATAACGTTAGTATTTTTTAGAAAATTTTATGGTTAGTATAGAACGAACATAAGTAAGGAAAAAAAAGAAATGAAATTTTTGTCTATGTATTGGATTTCATGGTTTAGTGTTTATTGAATTATATTTAAATAACTCAGTTTTTGACAGAATTTTTTTATTATCATCATTATTAATATAATTTAAAGGTTTATTATAAATTTATTTCAGTTGCATTCATTTTTAATTTTTTTTATTATTATTACAATTATTAATAATTATTTGTAAGTTGTTTTTATTTTATAAGTTACATATATTTTTTTTATTATTTAATGTTTCATAAAATTGTTGTTGTGGTTGCTGTTGTTGTGTGGTTGTGGATTTATAAAATTTTTTGCTGTTTTTTTTTTTTAATTTTCTGTTGTAGCAAATTGAAAAGTTATTTTGCTGCGCTATGTTATAAACGGGAGTTACGAATTTCTTCTTTTTTTTTTATCTGAATTATTTAATTTTTTTTTTTGTTTGCCGTTCAACTATTTTTAATTTTTCTTCTTCCTTCTTTTTTTCCTCATAGCGGCTAACAGCTGAACGGTTAATTAGGAAGTACCGTTCACAAGGGTTTCTTTTTTTTCCTGCGAGTGTTGCTGCTGCTGATCATGGGCATGAGTGTTGTTGTTATTGTTGTTACGATTTTTATTACCTCGTCTGGCTTTTGGCGGCGGCTGTTGTTGTGGCGGCTGCTGTAGGAGCTGTTGTTGCTGTTGGGATGCCACAATATTACCGCCTCCACCTCCTTGCTGCTGCTGCTGTTGTGGAGGTTGTTGCTGTTGCTTTTCATTGCTGCCGCTACTATTGCCAACTACGATACCCTTATTTACAGCGCCGTTATTGGCTTCCTTGTTGCTGACATTTTGCTTGGATCGCTCTGATGCATTACCACTGCTACCACCAGCGCTGTTTTTATTATCTGCATTATTGTGCTGTGGTGGTTTGCTGTTTTGTTGCTGTGTTTTGTTATTAATGGCCACACCGCCATTCGCTGCAAATTAAATCGCGAATTGGCAAACAAAAAAAATAAAAGAAAAAAAAACGAAAACAAAATGATAATGATTTAAAGCAAAAACGTCACACTTCATTTCGACAAGGAAAAATATGTAAACGACCCTATCAAAACCGCGAGCTAATTTTACCTCGGCATGCGACTAATATCGTGGCGCAAGAAAGTCAAACGTTAATTATTCAAACAGCGCACTTACGAAAAAAGAAGATCCTATCTCCCTGTTAAATTTGAAACTGGCTTTTGATTTTCAGAAATGTGAACGAAAGGATAAATAGAAAGTTCACTTTCCAACATTCACAAAATCCCATTAAAAACTCATTATTTTCTAATATAGATTTGTGGTTTACAAAAAATATGTTTGGGAGTTTTTGATTCTTAACCCGGATATTTATATATCGTTTTTAAAAATCGAAAATGTTGTTTAATAATCACCTTTCGAAAATGTACTGCTCGCCCATGCTTATAGTCTACGACTTTGAAATCTAAACTATCAAAAATTTATGTCTTTGGAAATGGTGACTAAGCAAAATGATGAATGTTGCGAGCAAAGTTGTAAGAGAGGTAAGTAACAGCGTTAGGTACTATAAATGAGAATGCAAGATCTATCTATCTATCGAGCTGTCGTTTAGATTAGCACGACAAGTTTATGACATCATACTCACTGTTATGAGAAGGGTTGTTTCTTTGCCTCCGACGTCTTCGCGAGCTACCTTCGTATGACGAAATGCTTTCAGCTATAGTAAAACATAAATGGAATGAATAACTCCGTTGAAATATGGCAACTTTTGAGGGATTTTTCAGATGTATACCTCTTTCAACACTGCTTATTTCACGATTTTCTTGAACATCATCGTTGTGATTATAATAATGATGATCTCTGCCATTTTGTTCATTATTACGATTGCCACGTCTTGGACCACCGCGACGATCTTGGTTACCACCGCGATAACCACCACCCCCGCCACCGCCGCCGCCACTATTACGATCATTATAACGTGGATGATCACCGCGGGAATTATAATCATCGTCCTCACGCCGTCCTTCATGAAAAGCGAAATTTTTTTAAGAATAAGAGAAATGCAAATAATAAGAGTGTCAGCCAAAAGTATTATCTATCTATACCTTGATTGTAACGCTGGTTGCCACCGTTATTGCCACCACTACCACGACCTCGACCTCTACCTCGCGGCCCCCCACGACTGGAACGCACTGATTCAATATCGCTGCTATAGCCGCGTTCTGAACGCCGCGAAACAGGAAAATTTTGTACAGAGCCCATGGTGGATTCTTGGAAGGCGCGCAGTTGCTGATCGATTTCCAATTTGTTTTGACGTAACTGTTCCACTTCCTATCCGCACCGAAAAGAAATTAATAATTTAAATCACTTTTCTTTAATTTCTACAGGATCTAACCGTCAACTCGCCAGCGGACTGGGCCTACCTTTAAATGTGCCAAATGATAATCGAGTAAAACTTTGGCATTCGAAATACTTTCCACAGTGCCAATGAACACAAAGGGTACAAAGCCGGCCTCTCGATGTATGCTGCCGTCCGGTTCGTCATCACCAGCAATCTGTTGATACAATACGTGAAACGGCAAACAAACGAATATTTCAATATATCGTAACAAGTATAAGTTTTTCTATTTACCACCTTAATTCGAAATACACCACTTTTATCAACAATTTCCTGTATAATTCGTCCGTTTTTACCAATAACTTTTCCCACCAATTCTCTAGGAACCTGAAAAAATTCCTCGGCATATTCGAGCATAGCCCGTGCTCTTTGCACCGCTTCTTCCGATTGTCCGGTTATTTTAAAGGTGCATGATTTTTCTTCCAATTCAATATTGGTAATGCCGTCCAGCAGACGAGCCGCCTGTATATTGGCGCCATGTGAACCAATTGCCAAACCCATAAGATCCTCACGTACATGGAATTCGTCAGTGAAACTAAATTCAAATTCCAAAATGAATTAATTAATCTTTGCTATTCGCATTAGTATTAAAAAACGAAGCCTTGCCTACCCACGATTAAGTAGTTTAGTGGATTCCAATTGACGCGCAGCTTCTTCCGTACGTTTCAATAACATAACCTACATGAAATATTTTTTTAATTTTTAGATTCATTCCATCAGTCTACCGGATGTTCAGCGAAAAGGTTTACTATTTTCCGTGGCCGCTCGATCGATCGATAAATATGGCCTTTGACGTACGATTTGGTATCGTCAAAGCATCCTCCTCATCCCCCGACTTAATACAATAATTGTTAGACGGAAATTGAATGAATGGAAATCGAAACTAACTACTCTCATTATAGTGCGATACAAAAGCGGTCTCAACAAAGAGCTCTTGTGAGCATTATGTAGTAGTATTGGAAGATTAAAATCTTCATTTACCTCAGGGTGAATGATAGAGCTTGGCATTTGTATTGACGTGAAATTGAATGGAAAGAAAAGCGACATGTTGCATTCACCTGTAATGTGATGGGCCAAAATTAATTGGTAGGATTTTTTTTTTTTTTTTTTAGCGAAAATAGCAAATCTTTTCGACGCTCGTTCCCTACTATAAGCTTAATCATTCACCTTCTGTGATAAATTGCGAAAATGCATATCCTTTAACATAATGGCACGCTTTTCGGTTAAGTCCCATTTTGAAATCACAATTAAGGCATTCACTTCCGGATTATAGACACAAACGCCGGCGCTTATGGTACGTTGAAATTCCTTATGTATGCCTTCTTTTTGTGCTCTATCAAGATCATATAAAAAATACACATAGTATAATGTATGCATGTATGCTTGTATGTATGTAGGTATGTATGCTGTATGTATGTACATATGTGTGCCGCCAATCAAACTTACTCTTCACGCAATTCATCGGGCACAGGTATCGTAAACTGGTGAAAAGATTTCGGCGTAATTGGCGGATTGAGATTCTTAGGGCGTAGACGTTGTAAATCGACAATTTCAGTGTACGGATTTTCAAAACCAATGTATACAACAGCACAAATTTCAGCCTTTAACATTTTTATCGAAGCAATCCACCAACCGCAGGCTTCACAATCCAATGAGCGTGTAAATACTTCAACTTCCATGCCCTCCTCAAAAGCGAAGGGCTCTTGCGATGGTTCCGGTGGGAAACGAACACTTGCGAAAGGATATTTTTGTACATCGGGCCAGCTGCGAAAGACAAAATTGATCGAAGGCAAAGCACTGAATAAATATTCAAAAATGCGAAACAAATGTTCATCATGTTGTTGATGCACAAAACATAAATTCATTAGACAACTTAAACAGGTGTGTTGGAATATAAAAACAACAACAATAATAATAACAATAATCACGCGTGCTATTCTTGCTAATGATATTGAACGTATTTATGTTTTTATATATATTTGCTGCTGCTGCTTGCTTATCCCTCCCAAAATAAATTAAAAATGATCTTTGATTTTTATGCTTATCTCTCTTCTTCTTCTTTTCGCTTTTCTTTTTTCAGTTAAGTTCAGTTGGTTAAAAAGTGCTATTGTAGTAAATATACACATGTATATATAGTGGAAGAAGAACAGCACGTATGAAGGAAAGAACTGTATATAACAGCTACAGCGCTACCGTTGTTGTTATATTTTACGTTTGGGAAAATGCCAAATTATATTAACATGATTCCGCTAATAATGTTAAAAAAAAAATAAAAACAAGAATATAAGAAATGTACTATGTATGTGCAAATATGTATATATATGTGTTAATATTATACATATACACACATATATATATATATATATATATATCTGTTCATATAAAAAGCCTAAATTTACACATAAACCAGTAAAATAAAAAAATACGGAAAATCGACATTTTTTTTCTTTCTATTTTTAGTTAAAATCACATGCGACCAATAAAATGAGAGGAAAGAAATCTTGTGACATCAATTGTAACATCAACGGAAATCTTAATTGAAACAACAGTCAAGTGAAGATCAGTTAAAAATCTAATTTGAAAGGTAACGATGCAAGATTAAAGTAACCACAAAAATATATCAAGAGCAAGTTGAGTTTCAGTTGTCGTAAGGCCCATGATGATCCTCGTTCCCCAGACTTGCAAAAAAGTCATAATGTAACATATAGAAAAGATCCTGAGAATGAATATATATATATTTTTTTACTTTCTCTAGTATTCCTGGCCAACTCTCAATACATTGTTTTTTTTCAATCCTCGCCACCAGTAAGGAGTGTCAAACGCATCATGGCCACTGATATAGGTAAATTTTTTAATTCTGCGGAAATATTGGCAAGCGTTCCATTCTAGGCTTTACAATTTAAATGGTTGGGAACGGCCGGTAATGCGGGTAGCAATTTAGGTATTCAGATCGACTCATTGAATCGGTTTTTATCGCCAAATGCATTCCTAATGTAAGAAAATGTATACCGCAAGGTAATTTAAACGTCGTGAGCATAACCACACCATTTCAACCTCAAGGTATAATATTCTCAAGACAGCAAAGGATGAAAGTGTAGTAATGTAATGAAAAAATCTCTACCCCAAGAAGAAATAAAGGCAGAGCCAATAAACTTAAATATGGTTCTCGAACTTGACCTTACGACTCTACTAAGAAATTATTTAACAATTTAACTGTGTCAATCTCTCTCAACTATACATTCGCAATAACCGCCAATGAAAACACTTGGCCAACATATTACCTGGAATGCATATTATTATGGCAAATACACATACATAATGATCAATTTTGGTAAGGAGGTCCCACAAGGACGGATGGACGCACAATGACCTATATAAGTGGTTAAGATCAATTTTCAATCTCTAGATATCAAAAATTTAAATTATTGTGCCACTTAAATTGATAAAGTCAATATAAGCAAATTTAGTAAGCAAAAAAAAATTGTATCAATAATAAATGTTAATTAAAATTAAAAGAAAAATTGTTGTACTAATAAGACTCTGTCGTGTCTATTTTGATGTAAAATAGCAAACAAATACAAATATTAGGACATAATTTAAAAAAATTATACAGTTAAAAACTAAAACTTAATTACTAATTAGTTGACTTGATATTAAGCGGTAATGGCTTTAATAACTTTGCAACAATACTAATGAAAAATAATCTTGATGATATTAAGTGCCTAATTTAACAAATTGACAAACTGTTAACTGTTAACTGTTGTCGATACAAAAGAAGCATGATATAAATTCGAGATTTTGGCGGTGGCCTCAGTTGTTAAGAGTACAAATGAGTTTACAGTATTAGCTAATGATGCAATCTTGAGAATGGAATTTTTCTATTTCCATTGAAATCTAAGGCCACTATTAACGTCCTTATACGGCAAGAAACAGAAATTTACCAGAAAAGAAAGTTTTTATCAAGAATCGTAAAAAGTCTTAACATATTCGTCTTAATTTAATTCCTCTTAGGTTATGTTTTCTTCAGCATATGTGAGTATGAAAGTCGAGAGTCTGACCATGGAAAGAAATTTGCATATGTTTTTCCAGAGTCCTCATTCACGTCTATCAAAGTCCCGGTAGGTTAATCAACTCTATCTGTATCTTGAAAAAAACGAGATCCCCACGAAGAAGTCCCGGTAGGTTAACCAACTCTATCTGTATCTTGAAAAAGACGAGATCCCCACGGAGAAAAAACATTTCTCGTATTATTACCCTGTCAACAAGGAAATCGACTAAATTGTATCGCATTCCGACGTTGCCAAAACTCGCCAAAACTTGTAATAACACGAGGACACGTCATGCCATATTCTTCGAGACAGAGTCCAATAACACAATAGATATTAATCTCATCATAGGTTAAAATTAATAAAGTCTTCACATTCATGTTTGTATGCTGTGAGATGAACAAATTTTAATGTTTTCCTTCCCTCGTATTTATTAATTATATTTTTCATTAAAAAGGGAGAGAGGAGGAATGGCGAGAGAGAGAGAGACAGGGAAAGGACGCACCGGAATTTCCCTCCTGGAGATTTACTAGGCCGACTATTACTTAAAGATAACTTCGTATTCCTTCCTTTCATCAAATTATACAAAATAAATAAATCTTTTTAATAATTTTTAAATTCTTTCTGAAAAGGAATATTTTCTGTTAAATTTACAAAAAATTAAAAAAATAATGCATTTTAAGAGCAAAAACAGTAAAATAACGTCATAGAAACTTAGTAATGGGAAGAAATTAATAATATTTTAAATACATCTCGTCGCGTGAATGATGAAAAGACCATAAACAACATTCTCTACGAACGTAATATTTAGCCGCGAATGGTTGGTTGTACTCGATGCGATTTGATTAGAGGCAAATACCATATTTTATATATATATATATATATATATATATTCTATTCTATGCTTATGTATATTAGTAGCTAGTTATTGCAGATAATATATTGTAGAAAATATGTAAACGCGTGTTTATACATCTATTATGTACATTAAGTATTCATCACTTAAGGTCTCTTAATCAAAAAAAAAAATCAAAAAACAGAATAATTCTTATTTTGTGTTATTATGCTCTTACTACACTTACCCCTCAAGTTCGCAGCAGACACCATCTTCGTAGACACCTGTCACCATACCCTACCAAAAAAAAAAGAAATAGATTGTTTAATAATGTCACTCATTAATGTTTTCCTTAGTCGTAGTCTTTTGTTTATATATGTTTCTTGTTTCGTTTTGTTATTATATTCAAAAACTATGTTTTTTGTGCATAATTTATTGCATTGCAGCATAAAATACTTGTTTTTAATGCCTCTGTTTTGATCGTTTACGTCATGATTAATAAATTTGCGAACATTTTGGTGTATGTTGTGCATGAAATATACATGACATACGGTAATTATTTGTAAATTAATAACAGATACAAAAACAATGTTTTTCTATTTTTCTTTTCACATACACTTTCCTGTCCTATTAAAGAGCAATTAAAAACTCGTACACAAACTTTATGAGGGAGACTTTTCATTACATTGCCAGTGGAGAAAAGTATCGATATTATATACTAATTAATATTTTTTAAACATTCATTTATAAATAATGCAAAATGGGAATAATTTTGGCACAGAAATTATAGATAATTACAAATTATTTCACTAAGTAAAACTAAAACTAACTCTAAACTAAAACTAATAAATTAATCAAGATTGCCAGTGGTACTGTCAACGATATGAATTGTGCTTTTTGCGTCAAATGCGGCATGAGTATTTAAAAAATGGGCACCTGTATACCGTAAGTCATTGTCGAAACTATGAGAAAACCGAAAGGTATAGAAATGTATTCCGCCATGTAGCTAGCGAACCTACAAATTCAACGGATCGAAACCTCATCACGAAAATGGGGATAAAAGGCTGATATATAGTACAAACATTTAAAAGTCATTTGATGATAACCATGGCCCGCCCAAAATAGACGCAGATATCTAGCTATGTACGTCGATCTAAAGCTTGCTGAATATATTTATTAGAACGGTGTAAAAGATAAATGTACCCAAGCGTCACATACCCGCAAGGCCACATTTATACGTCTTTTTTGTGATTAGGCGATGCGATCCGAAAATGAACAACTTGTAGGAGGCTATAATCTTTTGTACTCCAATATTATAAAACCCTTAAAGTGTATCTTAGTGACAAATATTTCACTAATAATTATCGGTATAAACGTTTATAAAAGATCTATTTGTAACTTAAACTTCCGGTGTTTTTCTTACTAAATATTATACAGACTCTTTATTTGTAAGCCCAGAAAATGAACTGAAATTTGACCAATCTGCCCAATGAATCATTTAAAAGCGCTGAAGTTTAAGTCACGAATAGATCTATTTCTCCCTGCAATCCCTCGTCACTTTTCTTATCCTTCCATCTAAGTACAAGAGAAATAAGTAGGAGGTTCTCATTCCTTTGCAGCACTCGAAAGTGTGCATCGTAGACAAATGATTTTTACATTCTCTCAATAAAATGGGGAAAATTCGACGCCTTTCATACCTCAAGATCAGTTCAAATATTATGAATATATTCATGGGACGCAATTTAACATCGTGAGTCCTCCTTGTCGAGCGACATACAATTTGCTAATGCTTTTTAGTGACATTGTTGGTCGATTGCGGGTAGATCCCATGGTAAAATTTTGCTCAACAACAGATGGACACATATAATTGCTCGAAATTTTAAATTACTCAACGTTAGTCTACCAATTCAAAGTATGATGTAATCAGCGCCTATTTGTTATTCTGGAAATGTCTTCGCAAAATCCTTTATACAACTTGATTTGGGATGCTTGTCAAGTTTTAAATGACTTAATTTTTTTTTTTGTTGCTTTGGGTAAATTCATTATATCCTTATGAGTAATCAAAAATATCCCATGTTCCAGAATTTTAACCATTTTTTCACGCGTACGAATGGCTCTCAACACAAAAGGCGACACATTCCTGTTCTTTATGTAAGTTGTTCGATGGTTAGTTATGAACGTTACATATAACAGTGCGTATAAAAAACCGTAGTAATCCTTTAATCTTTTTATTTATGATAATTCGGCTTTTGGGCGACATAACCATGAAGCTCCTATAAAATTGCAATTATTTTGTCACAAAACGATTAGCATAAATGAGAATGTGCTTAAGTTGACAACTCCCCCATCCCCTTGGGCCACTTACCTTGTAATAGGCGCCATTGTCACGTCTCACTTCAACCAACAAATCATCCATAGTGATTATAAAAGAGAGCTAATAATAATACTCGAGAAGCTGCTGGCGAGCTGTTTAATGTTGACACTCTCAGCGCAATTCTTTCCGTTCTTCAGCGTGCAATTTTTGTGTACGATTTTATGTGAACAAAGTTGATAGGTAGTGGGTGAAAAACAGAATGTAGTAATGGAATTGAGGAGAAAAAAAAACGATCGCGTACAAAATATTTAATCAATACAAAGCAAATTTTTCAAATCCAATTCTTTCAGCTGACAATGCTGATCAATTGCTTTTACTTTAGACGCGGAACTAAGTGTTTGGGTCTCCAATTTATTAATTGCTTTCGTGTTGGTTTGAATTTTGGTTTCGCTGACTTTATGAAAAATGTTTATTTCTGCAGTAAATTAAATCCTTTTTCTTAAATTTTGTTGGTCTCTTCAGTCTTTTATTGTTCGGTAGTCGTATGTAAATGAATGAGTTGTTTTATGCCTGCTTGCGTATGTGTGTATTTTTAGTCGTCTGCCTTTAATGCTGCTGATGTTTTGCTATAGGTTTATGTTTTATCTCCAGTTTCCCAGTTTCTCTTTGCTCTCCTCTTTTTTGTTATTGTTGTAAATTCCTCATTTATCGCTCCTAAAAATATACAAAAAAGATATTTATGACGGGCATTATAAAACGCGAATTTTTAGGAAATTTACGGAAATGTATTAAATAATCTTTTTTGCAATGATTAATTAATTGAAATATATATATTTTTATACAAAAAGAAACAAAAAAAACAAAGAATTTACGCCCAAAATCCTTTACGAAAAATTCACTTTGTTGTTTTTGCTTAGATTTCTCACACTTTGACAGCTCTGTCAATGGTATTGTTTGTCTCATGTATGTAAATATATATATATATATATGTATATAAATATATGCGTATATTTTTTCTAAAACTTCTTTTTTTCAACTCATTCTCGTTTCGTCTGTTCTCTTCTTCGCTACTGACACTCTCTCATCATCACTGTACTGCAATACTTATATACTAGATAAACACAGAGTTGCTCTTGCACTCACGCTTTACACATATTACTTCATTCTTCTAATTAGGCTCTTGCTCAATTTCGCTTTTCACTCGATTTCTTTTTGTTCTTTAATGCCAGTTTATTTTCATTTTTCTTCTTTTTAAGAAGATGGATAAATATATATATGAAAATTGCCGCTATATTATTATGAAGTGCACAAAATCTATTTTTTTAATAAGCGGCATTTACGTCAATAATTCTCATCAATTTCACTTTAAATTTAATGTTAAAAAAAACACAAGCAACGTAAAAGAAATGTTAAAAGTGATTGAATATTTCTGAAGTGTGCTTATAGTTAACTTTTTTTATGGTTCTTCCATAGTTTTATAACACAAAAAAATTCATATGGTTGTTCTTCTTTTAATTTTTGCTGTCTGCCTTTTTCTGCAAACCATATTTTTTTTGTTCATCGCTTCTAATTTTCCCTCATATTCTCGTTTTTCACTAATACACACGCACATGTATTCTTCGCCGCTTTGCAAAAAATATGCTTTTTGCCGCTGCTTCTTCTTTCCTTTTCTCATGCCCTGAGAAAAATTTCATGCAATGCTTTTTTTTGGAATTTGCAATGGACAATTTCACTAAACTTATGCACTCACTATTTGCTTTTTAGGTTTTCTTATAAATTTCGTATATTTTATTCAGAATAATTGCTTAAAATTTCTGCCTAGTAAGGTAATCTTGTTACAATTTTCTTTCCTACACGAAAAAAATCACGTATTCTTTGGTGAGTCCCTTACTTACTTACACCTTACACGAAGCGTCAAATGTAACAAAGTTTCTTAAAGCACGAATGGTGCGCAGTGTTGCCAATGTTAATCAATTAAATATTCCCAATAAAGAATGATATTAATCAATTAAACACTGGAGATGCGATATTTTTTGCCCACAATCAGGAGTAGATATTTTTTGCTTCTTTTTTTTTTTTAAAAATCCCAACTTTAAATTAGGTGTTAGAAAAATAGTTAAAAGCGTTAAAATCTAGGAAAAATTTCTATGTATTGGTTGTAAAATCGACGCCTGTTTCGAAAAGGCCCCTATATATTTAAATTATTGATTAAGAACATTTAATAATGAAAGTTTCTCTTCAAGAACATTTGGAAAAAAGATGCGGAAAAATGCTGGTAATTTTTTTAGTGGCATTAGGTTCTCCTTTTCTTGTTGTCTTTACTTGTTCTGAAAATATATTGAAGTTTATAACGAAACGTGATAATAGATTTTTTTTTTTTAAATGTAGCCTTTATAATATATTCCACAAATGTGAGGCTATGCGAGCTGGAAAGTGTACTCGTAATGCAACGAAGATGAATTCTAATAAAAAAAAAGAAAGCTTTTATTGTGTAGCATGCGATTTTTGAAAAGTTTTTCGCAGCTGATTTTAATTTATTTCTTTGCACTTCGTTATCCGTTTTGGAAAAACAAAATTTACCCTAAATCTTATTAGTGCCTTCATGTCGTTGTCGTTTTCTGTTAAAGGGCGTATTTTCTGGTAAAAAGACTCATTTTCTGCTGACAACTTTTATGATAAAGGGCGCATTTTCGGTTAAACGGCCAATGTAACCAATCTCTTATCAAAGTAAAGTAAAGAATTAAATAAAAGGAAGAAGAAGGAAAAAGAAAACCAGTAATTATGATTTCCAAAGGTGCGTGGTAAATCTTATCTGTAGTATGTAGCAGTTTTTGTGGTCATACGTACCGTTTAGCATCCTGAAGTTCAATAATGATACATAAAATAAAGGAAAAGTATAAGGAATTATCTTAAATTCTTCAGTTCAAGCAGACACTATTCTTGCGATTTATTCGTCGTTTTTAGGTGCTTGATGGTCGGTGTTGGTCTTCTCTTCCTTCTTAACTCCTTGTTTCCGAGTTTTTTCGTCGCCTCGTAGAGGAGAAGAAGTAGAAGTATTTTCTATTTTCACAATCGTATCAGGGCGAATCTTATGTTTCAACTTTACGTGTTGTTTTGCTGTGTTGCGCAATACCAGCACCAGATACATCAACTTCTTGTTGCGAGATGTCAATTAACAATAGTGAACGGAAAGGTTGCACACACGTCAGATTGTATCCTTCTCTTCTTCCCAATGCAAAAATTATTAGGAATTTGTGAGCCCTCAACGTTTTGTATCACATTGATTGTTGGTCGACTTTGTTTAAATTATGAATCATACGCATTGAAAACTATATATGAAAAGCCATCCTAGATCTTCTGAGGTCAGACAAGCACTGTTGCAGAGTTTATAAATCGATTTTTTCACATTTCATTGTTTAAATTTTCGGGTTTGGTTTTGTGTGGTGGGTGTGATTTTGATCTTGAACTCCGCTATTATTTTCAAGTGTTTAGAAGTGTTTAAGACTGTTTAAGACTGTTTAGAAATCACGGGTAGAAAAAATCCTTGCAAAATGTGCTTACTGAAATGGAAGAAGAATCGCCCCATAGTATACAAATTCCAACCATCTGAGAAAATACAAATTGTATACAATTGAGAATGTTTGAATAAATTTCTTTACATGTATTGCTTCGACTTAGAGAATAAGCGTATACAATTATCAAGAATTTTGCATGTATTGCTTCGACTTAGAGAATAAGCGTATATTCGTACTCAAATGTGGTGAGATTTTCTTTTCACCGTATTTGTTGAAAACAAGTCTGTGTTCTCTCCATTCTCCATAGATGGTACTTTTTTATGAACGGTGAAAAAGAAAAACGCAACTAACGGCTTTCAAACAACCAACAAACAAAATACCATCTACAAATGACACACTTGCATGAGTTATGTTCAAAATACTATCTACAAATGACACACTTGCACGAGTTATGATCAAAATACCATCTACAAACGACACAATTGCATGAGTTTTGGTGACTGAATTAATAATTTTAACATACGAAGAACTGATGTGCGTAACTTATTTGAAAGTTCTTTTGGTTGTCAATATTTTCAACCGGTAATTAAATTTTTCAATAACTCACAGTTACTCTAGCAGAAGCTCATGAGCGCTTCATCACCAGACGAACCTGTTTAAACCTGTTTAAATGGAAGCGTTGATGGATCGAAGATGTCGTAGGACTTTGAGTTTCCAGATATCAACATAGAAGTTTATTTGTCAAATCACCCATCTAAGACTTAAGACTATTATTGGCCGAATGTCTAGCGATCCTGGAAGCCATCCAAATTGGTTAGAGCAGGAACGCGCAGTGGAGCGTAAACTCAGCGCAACGAAGTTTGCCTTTAAAAAAATTTTTGGATTTTTCCTCGTTGCTCAGAAATTATGAAAGTTAAATGCTGATAATTTCCACATTTACTTTACCAAACACTTTACTCTTCACGTCCAAAAATGGAAAAAATCGGCCATGCCCATACAAAGTTACCAATAAGTAAATATTATTTTTTTCACTTTCTTGGGGTTTTAAGCTTATTTATCATAAGGCAACCAAGACAGAATTTTTAATGGTATTTTCTACACACTTCAAATGAAAATATATTACCTGCCTAAAAATTGGTTGATTCTAAAATGAATGCGGTAGACACCGCGATTACATTTTTCTTAATAATACCTAGCTATATGGGTATCAAATAAAGTAACTTGGAAAGTAGAATGCGGAAAGCATAGCGGATTCGGATTGCAGGATTGCAAGCAGTGCGTTGATGATGAATGCTAAGTAATCTCTTTACGTTGGAACTCTCAAAATTGGTGAAGTGATGTAAATATAGAAAGCAAATATTAACAGAAACATTTTAAGAAAAGTTCAAAAGCTTTCACAGCTTTCTCCTAATATAGCTAAAAAACCAAAAAGGAAGTGACCTTTACAAAAATAACTTAAACACGCTACATTTGCATCAATAATCAAAAGCACATCATAACACCACAGCAAAGATGGATTTTAAATTTTACTTGTCGATTATTTAGAGCTCTTCAAATGTCGAATATGAGCCAGATGTGCTAGAGGGAAAAATTCTTCGATTTTCTTGTTGGCCGAACAATACTTTTGCGAGGCTTTATAAATTTGAACGTATAGTTTTAAAGAAAAAAAAATCTATTTTTCTCAATTCAAAGGAACGTAATTAATACATTTTAGCTAAAAAATAAGTTTTGGTTCTGAAGAACAAACCTAGCCGATTAAGTTTAATAAAAAAGTTTGAATATTTACACTATATCCCTCCCACTATTCTCTAAAGCGGCACAATACATGCAAAATTCTTGATAATTATATACGCTTATTCTCTAAAACGGCACAATACATGTAAAGAAATTTATTCAAACATTCTCAATTGTATACAATTTGTATTTTCTCAGATGGTTGGAATTTGTATACGGAAATTATTGAGAATATATACGCTTAATCTCGCATCGATGGCTTTTTTACAAAGGCCTGTTGAATTATTGAGAACGAATATGCGCTTATTCCTTGAAATGCTACAATACATGCAAAATGATTGAGAATTGTAAACAAACGTATTCTCTCAGGTGGTTGGATGTTTATACATGCGACAGCTGTATGATAAATGTGAAGAATTTCAGAAAATTAAGTTGTGAAATAATGGATCAATGTTTTTAGTTACATTTTAATATAATGAAAAAACCTTTAAAAAATTGTGTCCCTTTTGCCTTTCAAAGAGCACTCGATTTCCCGCCCATTGAGCTTGTTGCTCTTTTTTAATCTTTTCCACATAAAATCGCGAACTAAAGGAAATACAAATGCTCTAATGCTCTTATCAGTCAGACGCGATCCTGCGAAGGAAAGTTCACTGTATCTGACAATTACAAGTACAATTTTGCCGAATATAACTTTCTTGCTTGTTTACATACAGTTTTCATTTGTAAATTAAATGTAAATTCCATCGAAACTAATAAATAAAAATAATTAAAAGGAAAAGATTCATGATCTATGCTGTTACAGAATTTTTCATTTAAGATTGAAAGCCTTCTCACCTTATTCTAGCACAGGAAACATAACAACATGGTTTACTATTATGAAAAACTATTTTCTAATCTGAACATTTTTACTATAAGTTCAAATTGGCGAAACTCGCTTAGCGAGCACTCACCTTCATCCGCCGGAACAAATTTGGCACGCAAACGGCACTGATATAAACCAAGAATCGAAAAGAAAAAATTAAACGAAATTCAATAAAAAAATTATAGAAAAGTCTAGTTCTACTATATATATATATTAAATGAAGCTTTTTTTTTTAAATTATATAAAAGTCTATTTCTAAAGTTTTTTAAAAAATTTGATAAAAGCATAGTTTAAAAATTGTTAAGCGTATTTAAAATAAAAAAAGAAATAAAAGGACATTGACTGGTAAGTGCTTTTTTTATTATTT